CAAGATCCAAATGAACATGGGTCCAGTTTGTCTCCAAGGGGATGGAGAGACATTGTCAGGTCTTGAAACCTCTCTGGATTAAATAAAAAATTGTTTTTTTTCTTCCCTGCTGGTAGCGCCTTTCTTGATCCTACACAGCTTCATCGGATGTAAAGTGATCCATGGGTTGATCAGTTCCCTACAAGCCTGATTTTGGAATGACAGTTTGAGCACATACATTGGCTGAATCTTTAAAAACGAATGTAACGGGTCTTCTTTTTTTCTCCATCCATTCCTTAACAATCTGAGACAAAGAGGTTTTTCATTTATCTCTGTAGCTAGGAATAAATAGATGACAGTGATTAGAGGCCGGTCCAATATTTATTTATGTTCTGAGATCTGTTTTGAAAGAGACCACAGACCACTAGCAGAAAGAAGAATCTAAATACTAAAATACAGAAAATCAAAGTCACTAAGGCTGTCATCTGTGGCCATGTTTGATAACCTTCATAGTTTTCCGAGACCCTGAAATACAAAAAAAAACAAAGCTTTGCAAGATAAAAAGGATCCTAGAGGTCAACTTCTGGACATTCAAAAACCCATAACAGAAATGTGCAGTGAGAATATTGTTCCATGGAAATTTGAAAAACAGCTACCCAGAAATGAAACTTAAAAAGTTTTTCAGAAAAACTTATTTATGCTTTTTTCCCAGATTTATATTCTTTAAGTTGTTTTTTTATTTTTTACTTATTGTTTCATTTCTTTATTTTAGTTTTTCAAACATTAATTTATCAATGTATTTATTTTTTCAACATATTTTGTATTTTTGAAATTCACCTACCAATCCACTCACTCAAAATATTGGGATCAACACATATTTACTGGAAATTTAAACAAAGTTTGAGTGCTTTCAAGACATTACATTATCTTACATAGAAACATCATTGTACAAATAATCTGTAATGACTGCATTCTTGGTCGGATTTTGGTGAGTTCTGCACTTTTGTTGAGCACTAGTTTGTTTGCATTGTGAACTTTTTCTTCTACTAATTGAAGCCTCTTACATGGTGAAATTTAAATGTTGTTCTGCAAAATAAAAGCAGATGTTACAACTTTCACTTAATTGGTGTGTAGATGATTTATAGAGGCTGTAGTTCAGCTTTTGGTTTGTAAATCTCTATTTTAAGCAGCCATGTTCATGCAGGCAGTGGTGACCAGCAGTGTCCTACTTAGCTTTAACAGACATAATTTACCTAAACCACTCCGTACTCTCCGTTAATTGGAAACATGCACAACAAACAGCCAAGGGGAAACTGAGGGTTCAGGACAATTACTTTCCAAATGGTTATGGTTTTGGGTTACATTGCAGAAACATGCTTTTAGGGACTATTTCTACAAGCTGTTTTAATAAAAAGGCAATAAATAATACGAATGCCTATACCCTCTCAGTTAAATTGTTAAATCTAGTTTTCATTTTTAATTTATGTTTCATTTAAAAAGTACAAGTTTTCTCAGAACTATGCTCCTCTTGTGTGTTAGACCAGCATTTTGCATGTGCATGAGAGAAAAGTAAAAGTATCACAGTCTTCCACTGCAACAAGTATTTAGGTAATAGGCATAAAAATATTCTCAGCTAAGAAAGTTGTTAACATTGAAGAGGGTCAAGTAGGGGTTCGTTATCGTTACCAGGGCAGATCTGACTCCCTCTATTTGCTGGAGTAAACTTAAAAATTTAGTTACCTCAAGATTTGAGAAATGTAAGGAGATAATAACTTGTATGTCAAGTTTATTTCTATAGCACATTCACAGACAACAGAACATCACAAGGTGCTTAACAAACAAAATACTAAAATGCAATAAAGTACAAAATAAAAAAAAATACAATAAAACACAATACAATAAATAGAAAAAATAAGAACATACATGGTCGTAATAAAACAATCCTTTCACTACTGATATTAAAATGCTTGAAAGATCAGGTTGGTTTTAAGTTTGGTCTTAAAAATATAATTTCAGTGAATGTAGAGACGGGAGGAGATCGTTCCAGAGTCTTGGTCCAAAGGCCTGGAAGGAGCGGGATCTTTGGGTCCTAAAACAGGAATGAGGCACCATAAGCAGACTCTGGCCCAGTGATCTCAGCCTCCGATTTAAAGGGTCCCTATTATAAAGACAGAGCCTGAGCTTGGAGAGCTCTCAATATAAGCATTAGGATTTTAAACAAAAATCGAAAAGAAACCTGAAGCCAATTAAGTAATTTGATCATTATGAGTCCTTTTAGTGCAATTAACAGCCTTACTGCTTAGTTTTGTACTTGCTACAGACATGATAGTTTCCCTTTGATTAGACAAAGAAATAAACTATTACAGTTTTTTAAACGAGATGACATAAAATCCATGGATGAGTAACAAAAGATCATCATTGAAAACGACTGTTCTCAGTTTGGAAACATTCCTTAACTGGTAGAAAGAGTTCCTGGTCAGCTGCTTACAGTGGTGGCCCAATAGCATTTCTTTGTCAAAGATTGATTTGGTTGAATAACCTAAATAATGGTTGGTAGCAGTAATGGCATTATGAAGGGCAATTAGCAGAACCTCAGTTTTATTGGAGTTTAACAGCTTACAGTGTTCATTAAGCCATTGTTGAATTTATGAATCTCAGAGGCCTTAAAAGTGCACTGCAGCTGTATGTCATCTGCAAATGGGCTTAAAAAAAGAACCCTGAGGTACTGTATTCCACTCAACAAATCTGTGGAGTCAGACTAGAACTAATTTGCTGAAACACTAAGACTTGTACCTAATAAAAAAAGAGGCAACCAATGACTGAACAGGTCTTGACATTTCAACAGTATCATACAGCCTTGCTAATGACATTTCATGATCAACAGAGTCGATACCAATTAGAGATCCAACAAGACTAACACAGTGCATTTCTGAGCTTGCCGACATCATAATGTCACTAGACACTTTAAGCAGGGCGGTTTCAGTAGTTTCCTCAAAAAAACTAGTTTGAATGTTTAGAGACCACTTTCTCTAAAACTTTGCACAGGAATAGGAGCTTTGATTTGGGCCTGAAACTGGATCAGCAGGATCTAACTTAGATTTTATTTGAGAAGTGGTTCCGCAAAGGCATATTTAAAAAAGCTGGGAAAAACAGCAGAAGACAAAGAGGTATTTATCAAGTTGGTAACCCAGGGGCCAATGGTATGAAACACTTCTAACACAGTTTTCCGGGATGAGCATCAGATGGACAGAAGGAGAGCTTCATTCTGGTCACCAAAGCTTAGATATCGGCTTGGTTGACCAGCTTTAAAGAGGACCACTTATCAGCTCATCTATAGAAACATCCAACTCTAAAATGCTGGATGTAACTAAGATATGGAGATGTGCAAGGTAATGAATTGCATAAATGATGGTCATAAATTAAAGCTGGTTGTATAGCTCTAAAAAAAAGTCTTAAAAACAGAGAAAGCTGCCAGATTGGCCCAGAAAAGTATGGTTTTATTAAATTATGTGCTGAAATTAATAAGCAGATATTCCCCACAGAGAATGTGAGGCAGAATTTTCTATTTTATTTTATAAATGGATAGCAACACATTTAGTACATTGTGTTTGGTTCCAACCTGTTATATTGAGAGAAAAATAAGATTTACACAAATATAAGCCACTATATTACCTCGGGAGATTAGCTTAAAACCGAACACCTGAGTAAAAGATGAGTGTGTTAGACATCCTATATGTAGGTTGTGCATGTTTTCTGTCACTTTGGGTTGAACACATTGCTTGATCTGACTTACTTTTGGATTTAAACCGGCAGCTAACATGCCAAGCTTTTTCTCCTCACTACTCCCCTGATCTGAAGATCAGATAAAAATCAACTTAATGTCTGACACTAAACTCAATCTAAATAGCTGTTATGACTATTTCTAATCCATTTAAACCTTCCCAACTAAATCAGCTCTATCTGAATACTGCCTGCATAACCTTTTCAGATAGATTTCTTTGCCAAATGTTAATGTTTCAACCTGTCCTGATTTCTGGTTGTGATTTGTTCCTGTAAACAATTCCCTAAGTGGACTAATTATTTGTGTGCACTTTGTTTTATCTCAACAAGAAAGCATCCACCTTTAACCAAGTGTTCAGAAAGACCAACTCTTAACTAGAATGAGGTAATGATACTTAAGTTTTCAATGAACTATGAAAAACAAAAGGCACCATCTGCTTTCTAATTAAACTAATTGCCGCAGAATGGCCCATATTTTTAAAGGGGCATATGGTTCTTTGTAAAACCGCTCCAATAATTAACTCCTCTGCAAACATGTGAAACCATGTTGGTTAATTGTCCATTTTTTTTTAGCTCAAAATTGCTTCAAATTTGGTGATGAATGTTACATACAGCAGTTCTTAGAGCAGCATAAATCAGTTTTTTTCCTTTTTTCTTTTGAGGAATATAAAGAATGTATCTCTGCAGCCATAATTTTTCTTATCCTTGTATAAATGTTCACTCAGATCTTTACTTATAAAATGACGGGAATAATTTATAACCTTTTACATTTATCATGTCTAGTAAAGGGTGCTTTTTGTGACTCTTGGTTTTGTATAAATCATTTGCAGTGAAAGATGTAAAATTCACTTTCGTGATTGCCCTGGTCAGGCTGCTAGCCGCTACAGTTGCTCTGAGCAAACTTTAGATAACACGTAGCAAATATTCACTGGTGCAGACAGAGAGTTGCATTTTGGAGCATTACATTCTATAATGATATTATTTGGTCATTTTAGCGTATTTGGTTTGATGTGGATCTGTGGTCCATCTGTGGGTTTTCATGTGATGTCTCCAAACTGTCAGAATATATCACCAGCAGTAACAGGCTGTGTACTGCAGCGTGAGATGCTTGTCTTAAGAATGACAAGCATAATGCTAAATAGTATGGTTTTGATATGTAGTTAAAGCGTTTGCTGTGTTCTTTGAGTGTTTTTTCCCCCAAAATTACATGACACATCAAATTATGAAATTATTATATTAACTATTACTCTTTGCATTAACTATTAGTTAATGCAGAATACACCTAATTGAAAACAGTGAGAAGGGAAATCTGGTGGTATTTGATCTTGGTGCGAGGTCAATTTACAAGTAATATTCTTGAAAAGCATGAACCTCCTTTAGATATTGTCAAAAAGGTTATTGATAAATTAGAGTTAAAAGTCATAAGAAATGTATCCAGGTTTAGAAGCTACAGGGGGATAAGCTTTTATACTACTCAGGCATAAGTTTGTACTGAGATATGTTTCTGCAGGGTCTCTTTTCCAAATGTAATTATATCATAGTTCTACAAAACGTATACATCGGCTCTTTGTTTCATTTTCACAGGGGAAAAAAAACTCTCTGTTTCAGTATATGCTTAAATTAGACTTTTAGGTTGTGCACAAAGCTTAAGAAAGATAAGCAGAGAAAGATTGTCTTTTCCTCGAGTTTACTTTTTCTCGCACAGAGAAAGTCTGGCTGCATCATACCAGCTGTGTAACTCAGTGTTCTGAAAGGAAATGCAGTTAAACTGTTGCTTTGAAAGATTTTATTGCATTTTCTTTATTTCCCGTTGTCATAAATGGATTCTGAGGATAATTTATCAATTTTTAACAATGCAGCACCTGGTGGACTATTCGCATTTCATAACATTCTGCAGCACATAAAGACTCATGGAAGCAGCTATTTTGTGATATTTGAAGATACCTAATTCATCACTGTTAACCATTAGTTGTATAGTAGAGTTAAGTTGCTTCGCAGGGTATAACATTTGTTTTGTTTTTTTGTATGACCAAATCTTGCAAATGGATCAGAGAATTTACCCTGCCTTTTAGTTTCAGATTCCATGACAGTAAAACTTAAAAATAAATAATAATATTTGAACTTTATTGATCTCACATTGGAGAAATTTACCCCTGTATGTAACCCATCACCTTGGAAATCAGTGAGCTGACAACTTTGGGCACCCGGGGAGCAATCGGGGGTTAAGGGTCTTGCTCAGGAACACAGAGTGGAGGTAGTGGGAGTGGGGTGTTCTGTCAGATGAGCATACCCGGTCAGACCAGCATACACATAGTCAATGCCCGTTTATCCCTTTAGTTTATTCACGTTTATTCCTTTAGTTTATTCCTTTAGTTTTGAACAAAAAATATACTTTCAACTACCCCGATGGGCATGTATCCATTTAGTCATGTACAAAAAACTATTTACTTACTCAACTTTCTGTGTTTTTTGAAGCATATGGCAATCTGACATTGAATTATTTTTTTTTTCTTGTATATTACTGAAGGGATACACACCCACCGAGGTAGTTTAAAGTACATTTTTCATTCACAACTGAGGGATAAACACAAATCTGACGTCTTGCACGTGCATATTGACTATAGGTATGCTAGCCTGACAGAACACCGCCACTCCCCCATACCTCTGCATTTAACCCATCCCCTTGGGGAGCTCAGAGACCCAGAGTGGAGGCTGTGGGGATTGAACCGCGTACTTGCAACCTTCTCAGAGCACAAGCGCACTGCACTGACCACTAGGCCAACACTCCCCAAGAGAACCAAAGCAAGTTACCGTCTACCTGTTTGATGTTTTCTCCTTCTCTGTGTCTTGTAAGACTTTGTTTTTTTTTTTTACTGTACTGCTAATACATTTCCAAATGGCTGTAAACATTTTCATATGTGAAGATAAATAATAAATGATAAGCTCTAAAGATGCAAAATGACAGAAAAAAGCAAAAACAAAGTCCAAACCTTTGTGAAACATTACAACTTATAAGGTTTTTCTTTGGCGGACATAAAATGCATCATATACTGGTTGTAGCGTATGAGAATAATCAAGGAGAAAACTGTTTTCATTCTTTAAAAAAATTTAATTTTATGTTCCACACATGCATGTATGTATTGAATTCATATACAGTTAACAATGTCTTGCAGAGCAGAGCTTCAGGAGAAAAATATTTTTTGTTCTCTGTTCTCAGATTCCTGCAAAATAACACCCTTCATTCCATATCAAAGCACGCCTTCCGTGGACTGTACAGTCTTAAAAAGTTGTAAGTATGTTGGTTCCTTAAGGAAATACCACTGATCTCCACAGAACAGTTACAGTAAATGAAACTTAATGTAAGGTTCTAAATAAGCTTATCTTTCAGGTTCAGAGCTGGTGAACACCATTTTTTAAGGCAATTTGCATCCAATTCTTAGTAGAGCAGCAATTAGTTATTTACTGTATTAACATTTCAAATATGGTCTTAAACTAATGAGAGTATTTTGCATTCTTTTGACTTGTTTGATTTGCCAAATATCCAAAACTGTAAAATTAAGACATAAAAAATGCACATCTGCTGATGCAAAGTCCTGAGGTTTAGAATAACAGCATCCAAACAAATCTATTCTACGCTGCCAAAGGGGTTGAAACTCACCCAAAACATTCAATTCAAGTGTTTCAATCATTTTTATTAGCACAGATGTATCAAATCGAGCCGAGACCGTTTCTACAGGTTGTGAAAGAATGGCTCATTTTCAGGAGCCCAGTGAATTCCAGGGTAGTATGGTAACAGAAAGCCCACCTGAGCAGTAAATTCATTTTTTAAAATTTCTTCACTAGAAAGTGTTCAGTGTGGCATCATACAGATGAAGCACTGAAGAAAACTGGTCGTTTAGCCGCAGACTGGTAGGCCAGAAACATCAGAGATGGTGCACACCAAGGCACAGTGTGTGCAAAAGTCCCCAACTTTATGAAAAGCATGTCAGTTAGGAAGAGGTCCCTGTGCTATATGAGCCGCTCTATTTGGTCTGATAATATTAAACAAAGTAATCAGAAATAAGGTCAAGCCTGATATTTATTTTCATTGTTTAGCATCAAAAATGCCAAATTAAATAAATCTTAATCATGCAAGACAGATTGTTTTTACAGTATCATGTTTGAGATCAAGGAATTTTGTCACGTTATTGCTGCATATTTTAGGAACATATTAAGAATATGATGTCAGTAGAGTTCATGTGAGTTGGAACACACGTATCCCAGTCCTTCTGGCAATGCAGTGAATGTAAATAAAATGTAGATAGCTGGTTGACAGGTTTTATCAACATGTACAAAACTTGAACTCTCATGAGAAACAAAAGCATTTTAAATCAAGTTATTTTTCCAAATAAAGACTTTAAGTCTACTTTGTGTTCACAAACCTTTTCCAGGATTTGGATTTATGTCATTTTGTAGAAAAAAAGGAACATAAAACCCAAGATCATATCATAGACAGATTCCAGTTCACAAAAACAAAATAATGATTATATATTCCTTCCTATGCAGTTTTCCTGACCTAATCTCAATGTATGCACTTATTAGCAACCTGGTTCTTCTCTGTTCTTTCTTAGTTTACATTTTTCTGGATTCATCAGATGGCGATATGTTCTTGATTTTTGTTTTATTTGCTTTTCCTACTTCTTCTTTCAGGTTTCTGAGTGACAACTTGATATCCACCCTCAGTCCAGATGTGTTTAGAGATCTGAATCATTTAGAGTGGCTGTAAGTAACATATCTATGATATACACACACGTTACTGCAGCCCCAGTCAGAGGTTTGCATCCACTCACCTGGGGTTTGATTGAGTAATATGAGTTTATTTTAAAGTCTTGAGGATGATTTGAGGGCTTGAACTCATAAGAAACAACATTTTCAAGAACTTTAAAAGACAACTACTGGTTGGATAAGTTCAAATTTGTTGAATGGGCATACTGACCCAAATACATACAAGTAACACCCCTGAATATTTCTCACAATAACCCTGACTGGGTTATTGTCTTTGTTACAAAAGTGGGATAAGGTGAATATATAAATAAACAGCATGGATGAGTACTGTATGTTTGACGGTGAACTATTGGAATGAATAATAATGCATCAGAATTCTGCCAAAGGTCCATACGTGTTATAAATACTCAAATGATAAAGTTTTTTTTTTTTTAAAACAAATACATCTAAAGTACCCTCCATCAACAATTTGAATCTTCTATGAGTGCAGATTGTATACTATGAAACCCCAAATATATCACACCCATTAGGGCAAGCTTCTTTTCTGCGCTTGTGGTGAGCCATTTATTTTCCTATAGATTCTATCCTACCAGTGTGTGGACCTGTTTCCGTGCGGTTCATGTCAACTTTTATTGCTTTGTCTGTGATTGGCAACTTTTCAGGAAATCCTGCCTCTTGTGGCTGTGCTCTTCTTCCTACTAGCCAAGCAACTTCAGCCTAACCATTTCCCTTCAGGAGCTGCTAAGCAAAGTCATCTTAATATAACATGGTCTGTATAACTACTGGAACTGCTGGAACAACTGGCAAAATACCCTGATAGTTTCTGCTAGCTCAAACTTTACCTGGACATGGGAAGACAGTCACTGGTTGCCTTAGCAACATGTCACAACTCAAGATGCAGGAATTACTGAAAAATAGCCAACCACAGGCTTGTTGGTTTGTGTGGTGGGTAACGCCTTCAAAGTGACAAAAGTTGATAGAAGCTAGCAGAAACAGGTCCACACATAAGATGGAGGGAGACTGATGAGCAAGTGTGGAAATCAATGACATGCGCAGAAAAGAGGAAAAAGCACTCATTGTGTGATATATTGTGGCCTTGTGGTACATTATTTGCGCATGTAATACATTAAACATGTAATGAGTAGTTTATGAGTGTGTATGAAGTAAAGCTGCTCTGAGGAGTTTTTACTACTGTGTGCACTTTTGGCAGAATCTTGACGCCATAGTATTGCATCAGAACTCTGCCAGAATTTTGAACCCATACTTAGAAGTGGAGACTTTTTATTTAATCTATACCAATGTCAAGCTTTGCAAATGGTCTGTAGGAAGAGTGGTTCAAACTCCCCATTGGGGAGACCTGAGACTTTTTTGACTTCTTTGTAAAACATGTTAAAGCAGTTTTATCTACAAAGGGTTTGCCAAAACCTTTGCAGCCGAGCCTTTGTTTAAAGAATGTGTTGTCATTGAAGTTTATCAGTCTTTAAAGACACATACATAACAAAGTAATACACTAGCATTATTCATATGTGTGTTGTTTTAATACATGCATGAAAATAAATATATATAAAATGTGTTCCTTTTTTTCTTACCAGGATATTGGACCATAACCCGGTTAACAGCTTGACCCATGAGACCTTCTTTGGACTCCGTTCTCTAGTATTTCTGTGAGTCCATCTTTTGTTTATCTAATAATCAGAAGAAAAAAAACACAATCAGTAGTGATCTGGTAAGATGGGTTGCTATAACACGTGATTGTTATAAAATATAACCGCCCTTTCTTTTTATATGTAATGTAAACCTCTTTATTGTCCCACAATGGGGCAATTCACTCTCTGCATTTTAACCCATCCCCTTGGGAAGCAGTGGGCTGCCATAGGGTGGCACGCAGGGAGCAATGCATGGTTAAGGGTTTTGCTCAGGAACCCACACTGGAGGCTTTGGGGCACAAACCGGGTACTTGCAACCTTCTCAGAGCACAAGCACACTGCTGTAACCACTAGACCAACAATCCCCCATACACACACCCCCATACACAATTACATCTGTTTCTTTGATCTTTATTTTATGTCCTTTGTAGTTATTATATTACACTTGTAGTGCTAACACAGCTGATTCAGAGCTTCCAAAGCACAGATCACATGGAAGCTTTTTGACTCTGTTATATTTAAAATCATTTGCACCTCTGAAAGGTAAAACCCGTTAATCTGTTTCACCTTTCCTCACTTCGGTATGTTCTGTGCAAAGTCTGTTAAGGCGCTAAATGACAGGTGTAAACTACTGATACTTCCAAAGTGCAACCCTTTTAATTGTTCTCCAAAAGCTATAATCAAAGCAGCACAATTCCCCCTTTGACTATAAAGAAAACATCCACAGACTATGGTTTAAAACATAATTGATGCGCTGATCAAATTGTGCAAGCATTTTATTTAACAGTCAGGGTTAGAAGGATCCAGAACACCAACTGTTTGAGGCTCTACTTGGAGACTAAAAGCAGATTTTAATTGGCTACATTTTTCCCAGCACAAGACAAAGCAAAGACAAAGCAAAATTAAATTCTATATTTCTAGGTCTACCTAAGGTCTCCAATGGATATTTAGAAATCAACTAGGAAATTTTGCAGGTTTATATAAAGGTTTGAGAGCAGAAATTAACATTTTGAGGCACTGAAATTGACACAAAATCCAAAGCCTGTCGAGATGTTATCTTTAGGACTTTGGGGCATAGTAAATTAAAAGTCCAATCAATGAGTCAGTTGTTTTTGCTGGTTTCTAAACACAGATGCTTTTTAGATTATTAATGATCCTTTCACTCCCTGACTTGCAATGCAATCTTTTATTGGTGTAGCTAAAACATTTTTTTTTATATAAATACTGTCAGTTTTAAAGCATAAATCATGCAGGAGAGTGTGATGAATTTTGGTGGCAAAGGACCAAAGGTTCAAAAGGATATTGGCAGGTGCATTTAAAAAAAGGATATATTCTTAGCGAATAGGGATAAACTTACTGGATACAAGGGACAAAGGTAACAGCATGGGAAAATAAACATAGGACCAGACAATGAGGGAATAGACTGAAAAAACAATTCAAATACAACAGGGATTAACAGAAAACAAGGGAGTGCAAATAATTGAAATGTTGACAGTGTGGATCGTGACAGGAAGATGTCATTTTTCCATAAATGTTTGCTGTTTTTTAATTATATTTATTTTATTCAGCCAAAGACTTATTCTTGCAGAGGTTAACATCCCATAAGGCTAATCGGATGTCACAGAACTGAATAAGGCCTCTGATTTAATAAGAGAATGAAGATTTCTGGCATAGACGTCATCAGATCACACAAACAGAGATGAAGATGTAATAAGCCTCTGTGTTTGCAAAGGATCATGGGAGTTTAGCTACATTGCCAAAGTTTTCTTGACTGCTGGTGGATAAACGAATCCCCACTTTTATAAAGACTTTCTTTAATTTTCTTTTATACCTCATCCAGCTTTATGAAAGCCATCTTGGTGATTTTTGTTTAAGTTTAAACAAACAACCAAAACTGAAGCCAGCATATATTCATTAGCTGGGGGTCTGAAATGTAAAATAAGAAATCACCTTTTAATCTAAAAGCAACAGTAAATGCATGTGATAAGTTCATTTTCTGTTTTATTATCTTTTATATCACTTCGCTTTTTCACTGAGATTAATCTCTATGGTGTACATGATACATTGCTGAGTATATAGCTGGATTCAAGAGGTTCAACACTTCCTGATGGCTCATCTGGATGTTTGGGGGAAGATGATGTGTGTGCCATCTGTCTTGGTAAACTGGCTGAAAAGATTTTAGTATCTCCTTTGAAATCTTTGATGTTTTGTCATCCTATAATCTCAGACTGTGATGTATTCTTTTTGGAATTTAAAGGCTAAACTGACATCTGCAGATGATTGTTCAGTGGAGGTAAAAGTATGCATGTTTTTAAGAGTCTCTTCCCATGTACTCGAATACAAATAAATAATAAAAGCCACCTATTTTGCACAACTGCTAAAACCAGAATCAGAATCAAGTTTATTGCCAAGTAGTTTTGCACTTACAAGGAATTTGACTTGGTGCAGCCAAATATATATATATATTCAGAATCTATAGCTATATACAATATAAAACATACAATCATACTGTATATAGCTATTTTCTGTATACACACTAATTCAATTTCATTGATCTAACATTGGAGAAATTTATCTCTGGAGACATTAAATGTCACACAGGAGGTCTGGAGATGCTACGTTGGAGTAGCTTCTGAGGTCCTGAACTGTGGTGAGAGACAGACAGTGTCAGTGTCCCTGTGGTCTCTATGCCATGTTGATAAGGCTGATAGCAGATGGGAAGAAACTGTTCTTATAGCATGAGCAACCACAACAAGTGTCCTTTGAAGCTGACCAGCCAGGCTGTTGAATGCTCGACAGGAGGCCAAGTAGTCTTGGAGGTGGGACCCAATCCGGTTGAAAGAAAAACATGCTCCAAAGAGTTTTCCACTGCAATGTCTTTATTTTTTTTTCTGGTGCAGCAAATCAACCAAACCCCACCAACACAGGACAATGGCAAACATGTTTCTTATATAGAGGTGAACTAAATTGGAAGAAACCCTTATAAAAGGATATACAGCTGCAATATAACAAGAAAAAATAAATAAATAAATGAACAGCTAATGAAGGAGCACATTTACCAATCAAGACAAAACTGAAATATTTTAATTCAACCCAAACAAATACTCAAAACGTAACTTCAATTCTCCAATGGTGGACTCCTGTGCGCACCTGCCTGGAGAGGGAAACAGAAGAGGTGAGCTTTGATATTTTACCTCTTTAACTCATGCATTTCGCTTTTAGGAATAGTTAAGCAAAAAATATTAAAAGTGAAATCAACATACCTTTTTACAAAAAAGAAAACAAGATGAGGCCTACCAAAGAAATCACATCCCAAACTAATCAACTGCACCAAAAACAAACTAATCTACAAAGCCAGTATCTGTGTTCAACTGTTATCTTTATTCAATATACAGGTAACAACGGCTCATTGTTACGCAGGCAATGAGGAAAATAACATCGCAGATGGCCGTGGTGCTCTGGTAGACAGCTAAACCTCAGCTGTGGGGTATTTCTCTTCATTACCATGAACACAGCAAATGTTTACTGAAGCATCAGATATCCATGACTAGTTTACATGGCAATGTTCAATAAGAAAGTCACATTTTAAGAAAGAGCCATCCAACTTTCTTTTTTTTTTTTTTCAGTTTGTCACAAGCCCTAGAGACACAGCATGCAGGATGGACAGGATGTTCTAGTCAGATTAGACTAACACTGATTTATTTTGTCCTTGCATATCATTGGGTCAGAGGTGATAGGAAAACAAATGGACGTTGATCCAAGGCTCTAATTCAGGCCAATCAAACTGATCATCTTCAACAAGGACTGAGATTTGAAATTTTCTGTCCACGGATCTTCTTTATCCAGATAATCTGCCTGAACTTAAGCTACTTTGCAAAGAAAGATTCTTAATTCAAGGGGCAAATCATTTTCAAGCTTTTCTTGGATGACTAGGTAGATCCGAATTCAATCTTATTCGTTAAAAATGGAAATCCTTCTCCTTACATTCTCAATATGTATGAGAATGTGGGTACTGTTTACCTTGTTCTTTTTATGTATTTTAGATATGATCTCTTTTTTTTCTTTCTTTCTTTTTTAACAGTGTCCTGTCTGGTAATGTGGCAATAAGAATAATTGTCTTGATGCCAAAAAGAGCCCAACAGATTTTACTTTAACAAGTGGAGCAGTAAGGGTATGGCCATAGTGTTCCGATTGATTTATGCATATAAATAGTTTTATTATACTTAATGAAGGGAGTATTACAGATTATATGGTCATTATAATGTTAGTAGAACAGGAAAGGAAAAACATAAAAAAGGGAGAAAAGATAAAAGAAAGAGGAGACAAAAGGGAGATAACGATTAAACATCTTCAGTCTGCTTCATCACCTGCAAAGAGATGTAAAGAGAACAGCATAACCAAAGGATATAGTATAAGAGATACAATAAAGTAACACCTTGATGCTATAGCTGAAGTATAACTAGTATTAGATATGATTTCTTAAATTATCCTGCATTTTAATATCTAATCCACCCATCAAGTACATTTTTCAGCATTAGACACCTTGAATTTTACTAGAAGCATATCTGACTTTGACTGACTTTGGAAAATTGCTTACAGTTGTTTTCTGCTTTAAACTTGCTTACAGGCTGTCTGGATGAGACTTGTTTTTGTCCTTGTTTGTTTTTTCTTTCTGGGGTATGTTCACCGCTCGGATACATCACAGCATGTGTCCGTCTAAAACTCAGGCTCGATGCTTGAACTCATAAGTGTTCTGATTCTCATCGCCTCTTCAAAGGGTGTTTGTCGGTCCCCGGTGAGGACTACGCTAGAAAGGACCAGATGGGGTTTTGTTTCTTTCTAAAACTCTCATTACCTCTGAAGTGTTGCCACCTAAAGTATGAGAAATTTTTAAGCTGATGGACGGCACATAATAAATAGTGCATTAATTATCTGTATCTGCAAAATTCAAGGCTCCTGGGGGTCTTTTTTTTTTTTTATCTGACCAAAGCAAATATTTACATGTGATCCTCTAAAATTGATAAGTTGCTGGCAAATCATAATACTCATCCTCCTTCTAACTGTCGACTATCTCCAAACAGATTAAAGGTGTTTTTGTTCTTCTGTCTATAGCCTTTACACCTTCTGCTAGAAATGATAGAAATGAAGCTGCAAGGGCAAGGACTGTGGAGAGAAAGTCATAAACTTGTTGACTAAGAAGAGGCGGAATCATAAAATGGTGACAAGCAAAGAAGAGAGTGATTTTATAAAGCAGCCGTGGGAGGATGTTTTAATGTTTTCATGAGGGTGCTACAGTGGGTGAGCCATTTAGAATTCATTGCAAAAGGTAGGTCAGAAAACAACAGTTCTGGCACGATAGATTAGATAAAGTCCAACTAGCTGCAGTGTGGGAATATCATCAAGTAGACAAAATGTTACCAAAACGGAGAAGTATGTCACCCTAATCTGTGTGATTCATTTTTTTTGGAGTTTCAAGTAAAAAACACATTTTTAATATAGAGTCGACTTTTTCTGTTGTTATGCTTCTTGTTTTGTTTAGTTTTTTACCTGCAAACTGAAAACATAAGGAAATTGAATGTCTTCTGAGAACTCTGTGGGATATAATACTTTGTAAAATTAAATATACCATAAAAACTTGTTCACGCCTAGTGGGCACCAGCATTCAACACTGAATACTCGGATGTCTTATAGTCTTTTGTTTTGCATAGGTTGCTTAAATATTAAAGGCAAACCTTCCCATCTTTTCTACAATGATCATATATCAAAGTATATTCAGTCAGAAGAAAGTGCATGAAACAAACAAACAAAAAAAGCAAGTTTCATTTTCTGGGCTCATAAAGTATTCACTAGAGTTTATTTCACTGTGAATTTCGTTTGACCTCAGTCTGAGTCATTCTACCCTCTCCACTTAGAGGCTGGAGTACAACCAGTGTAAGAAAAGGATGTTCAAGTTGCAAGTCACAGTGATCAAAGCAGCTGCTCTCACCGTGTAAAGTCTAATCTCTGTGCTGTGAAATGTCCCCTTTCTCTCCTCAGATCGATGGTGCGCACTTCGCTGCAGCAGCTCCCTCATCCCAGCTTCTGTCAACACATGCCTGCCCTGGACTGGCTGTGAGTCTGCTCTGACAGTGTACTTGTTTGTATGCAGGTGTGTAGTGTGGGATTCGGTTGATGTTTGTATGCTCAAAGGGGAGAGTGAGTGTCTTTTTATTGTGTGCACGTGAGTGAATATAAGCACATATTAAAAAGGATGCAGAGAGAGGTTTTTTATTGACGGGCACCTTCAGCTAATGTCACAGTGGTCGGTCAGCTTGACCAGCCGCAGGAGATGCAGCATGAGCCTCAAAATCCACTATAACCTCATGTTGTCTGTAGCTTTTTTGTCTGAATTACTGGAGCAGACTATAGAAAACCCCCAGGCTTTCATTTTCTTTTGGATTAGAACATTTATAGTATGAAATCGAATTTAAATTAAACTCAAGCTCACACCTGTTCAAATGAATTATTTCTGATCTCTCTCTGATAAGGCGTATCTTCATAAAGAAAGAAAATCCAGACTACTGTGACATACGAATCCACAGATCACTAGGCAGTTGTTATACTGGAAGATTCTTATCACTTGTTATCTAGTGCACTTGTTAAAAATAGCAGTCTCAACACAAGTAATCTCCAGAACACGTATCCCGCTGCCTTCAACACTCTAATCCATTTCACAAGTCCAGATATTCTTGTTTTCATGCTGTTTGACTGCATCTCTGAGGGCAATAACGACGATTCAACAGAGGCTTGTAAGTGCTAACAACTGTTATCCTGCTTCAGAAGCACCTTCATTTTTTTTATTTACTCCTTTTCCGATTAAAACGTTTATTTCATAGGAAAGGTTTAAAGTCGTAGGGAAGTCATATTTAAATGTCAAATCATTCTGGCTTAAACATATATAAAAATGTACTCTGTTTCAGCCCATATTGTCCCAAAAGTTGGAAAATTTGTATTTAAAAAAAAAATTAAAATCTGTGGGGATTTTTTTTGTCATTTTATGCAGGCCAGTTAGTTATACGTCAGCTTGTACACCGAAATTTGGCCAATCATATATCAAATGTCATCTGTCAGTCATTTTTTTTTCAGTCATAGCATCAAGATTCATTTGTACTAATGTGCTAATATACGCAACAATTAAACTTTACATCCCAGTGTTCATTAGGAAGGACGTTTGTGTCTTCGGCAGGTGTAGAGCTAACATAACTGGCAGCATTGCGAAGCAAGGGCTCAAACTTGTACGGCTGTAAGCCTTCTACACCAAACCAAGCTTCTGCTGCCCTGGCGTCCTCTTCCACAACATCTTCATCCCCACTTTCCTCCTCTAAATAAAGAATGTATGACGGAGGAGACTCATCCACGACCTCCGACACAAAACTGTCCTCTTGCATGTTTTTGCCGTCCATAGAAGTCCTTAAAAGTGCCGTTGCTAAGTGCAACATGGTCCCAAAGTAATTTCCCATTGGGAACCTACTAGCACTAAGCTGCTAACTGGTTATCAAGATGCCTCCGATAAATTGTCCACAACCAACCTTGCTTGCGAACCTTCTGCCACAACAATCCCGCCCCCTTGATAAACGACCAATCACATTCACTTTATTTACTTGTGTAAAGTCGGACACCACTCGGGAGAATTCGAAACTGCAAAGGTTGGAACAGCCGCTTTCCTACGATTTTAACGCTAACAGTGTCTGGTTGCTTAGCTTATGGCATGCTTTATTTGTTAGAAAAACCCTGAGGAACTTTGAAGTCACCTTCTTTGCTGACGTGCTTGCTTTGGGAGCTGGATGATTGTGACAATTTTTTTAGGTTTTGGGTGCTTTGACTGGTTTTGTTGTTTAAAAGCAACCTGCTCGTTCCCTGGTGATACAAGCAGAGTTACACTCACTGGCCACTTTATTCTATTTGGCTTTTCAATTACCTGTTAGCAAGAATAAGCTATTTCAAAGCAGCAACTCAGTTGATGCTATTAGGCATTGAGAAGTGGTGAGAACAACGTGCTAATGTTTAACCCATTTGGGAAATTGGGGAAAAGAGGATTTACGTGACTTTGGACAAGGCACAGTTGTTGTTTTCAGATAGGCTGGTAAGAGTATTTCATAAACTACTAATTTACTGGGGGGACAGTCAGAAAAGGAACCTTTGAATGGTAGTCATGTGAATATAGGAGCTACGGTTATGTCAGAGGTCAGACGAGAAAGCACAGACTGGTGGAATATAATAGAAAGAGAACATGATTTAAATAACCACTGTTTACAGCGTAAACATGGAGAATCCAATCACATTGAACCTTGAAATAAAAGCCAAAGAAGAGCACCCAGCTGATGAACCCTGTCAACTGAGAAGAGGGAACTAAGCTGCAGTTCACACTGGTTCACCATAATTGATCATGCAAAATCAACATTCTTGAGCTTTTAACCTTGTTATGGTGCTATCCCTCAATCAAAATCATGCACAAAGTGGTATTTCATTTGATATAAGCATCTTGATTTAATCTTCATTAGTTCGGCTGTCTGAATAGACCCCCCCTTCTCTGAAAGCACTGATATTAGACCCGCTGTGCCTGCACTGTAAACAAATGCAGACTTTCTTTGATCAGGGAGGGCATATGTAAAGCAGAGCATGATGATTCCAGCTTAAATTTCAGACAAAGTGGTTCTTTTAGTAGCTAATCTTCATAGGGCCGCAACCTATCCTTTTTTTTTTAGCTAATATTTAAGTTATGAATCTTTTTGGGGAGCCCTGAGAAGTATTAGACCTTGTTCAGCCTTCAGAAAAAATGTGTTATAATGACATCATGGAATATGTGGCACCCATATGAGGAGAATTTGCTTTGCTTGGAAGGAAAGTGTTTTTCTTCATGGTTGAAAGAAAAAAATATAAATTTTACAATAAAATATTATCAACATGGGGCTTAAGGCATTATTTTGAAGTATATTTGCCTATAGATGAACATGGAAGGCTTAAAAAGCATGATATAGGACCCTTATTAGATTGAAAAATGTGGAATGAGCTGCACCATGCAGATGAAGGAGCCAGATTTTAATGTAAACAAGATGAGAGCCTCCATTAATCCTGCTTGGTCACAGTTAAAGCTGATTGTGGTGACCACTGTGTCCATAGCTATTTCCAATGGAATAATACACCATGTCAAAAGGCTCAAGTAATGTAGATGCATTTTGTTAACATGACCATAGGATTACTGTACGGTTCATTAGAATTAACCCCACAGTCACCAGATCCCAATGATGAGATCACATGAGAGATGTAAGGAAACAAAGGATTTTAATGGATGGCTTACATATCTGTGCACACTGTGTGATGCAATCATGTCAATATGGGACAGAATACAACGGAATATAAAGGCCAAGCCCACCAGTGGAGAAACTCATAAGAAAAGCAAAAACAGAGTGTATTTGATAGTGAGATTTGTTGACTGCAGTCCACTTTGGAACTAGTTTTGCTTGTGGTTAATTAAATTGATTTAAGGGGTCTCCAGGCAGCTAAAGCCTGTCAGTAACCTGATAGATTTGTTTTACCTATGAAATAGGAATACACTGCAAATAAAATGTTCTTCCACTACAAAACTACATAAATACATTTTTACTAGGATACATGATTTAATGAAATATATATGACAGAGAAACTGATTATGTGATCCCAATATTATTTTGAGCTCTACTTTAAGTGACTCTTAATATTTAGGCTTTAATCCATTTCTCTAAAGCCTTCATTGAATCCTAGGAATTAAGGAATAACTGACCAATATTACATTTTTTCTTTATAACTTCCCAAATCCACATATCGATTAATAAAGTAACAATGATTATGGCAAACTACGCAGCTGAAACCATCTTAGTCCCTGCTGGCGATGGCCAGTTTCTTGTTTCTGTGCCAGGCCAGTTAGAGCTGAGAAATGTTTACAAAAAGCCAGAACTAATTTTTGTGCAAAGACATAAATAAACTGTTGTCTTAATAGGGAGTGTTTTAAACTGGTCTAACCTCTTCCTGTCAGACAGATGTCATTTTGCACATGTAGGCTGTGGATTCAGTGTTCGTCAAAGTGATGTCAGGTGTTCTACAGGGTTTTGGACTTGGACCAATCCTGTTTTGTCTTATTATGCTTTGCCTTGAAAATATGATCTGGAAAACCTTATTTATAGCTTGATATGTATGCTAATAATCAGCTAGTTTTATCTGTTAATATCTTTAATACCACCTGCATTTCCTCCCATTCTTTGTAAATGAGCCAACTATGTATTTAGTTATATAAAAGTCAGAGATTGTGATTTAATTCTTACTCCTGATTACTTTGACATTGAATGCAATGATTACCCTCTACAGAATTTTAAACAGGATCTGTTTTATATATCTGATTTTCTTACATACAACATTCTTTACAGCATTTATTAAACAAATCTGAAAAATCACAATCCTAAACTGACGTTTTAAAATGTAATATAAGATGTGATGCGATTGTAGCTTGATGTCAAAATAAATTCCTAAACCTCTGCAGTTAGTAAAAATGTTGAAGCCCAAGCTTTGAATCTAGAAAAATACCATCACACCTTTGCAGTCCCCCTAGATCGGGATAAATTATTCTATGCCCAGAATGTTATGTTGCTTTCCTTTCATTCACCATTTATAACACTTATATTTATTTAAATCTACCGGGTTTAAACTTTTTCTTGTCTGATGTTTGTACCTACATCAATGTTCAGATTTTCTTCTACATTATATCCTGTCAGACAAAAAGCTCTTTTTTGTCTTGTATTTCTCTCTAATCCCAGAGATCTTGAGGGAAACCAGATTCATACTCTTAACTATTCCATCCTGAAGACATGCAGCAGACTTGAAGTCCTGTGAGTATATGATGGAGAAGCATCACTTTTTTTTTGTCCTTTTGTAACTTTTATGCAGAATGTAGGAGCAATCTGGCCACATGTGAATGTTAAAAATAACTTTCCACTGCAGTTATGTAGTCATCCTCTGAATATAACAGTTTAGTTAAAAAACTAAAAAAAACATTGGATTTGTTAGAGCCCATGCAGACTTAGCTTTTGTAACAACACAGGTTTTGTGTTGCATAAGCTGACAGTTCGGGCTGCTCTAATTGAAATATTACATTTTCAGTAAAGTTCAGCTGGTCAAACTAAAATCAATCACTGTGCAAAAACAATCTTACTTTAACGGTTTTGTTCTGCTCTTGATGCAGAAATGAAATACTGCCCTCAACTGTTTAAGACACTGGATAAACTGTCTTGATTATCAAAAGATTGTGACAATTTAAAATGTTTTGTGCTGGACAAAATTTCCAGTGTTTCGGGATCCTAAAAATGCTTCCACTTAGCTGACAGTCATGTGTTAGATATATTTATGGACATCTAATAAACACAAATTTGTTTTTTTCTTTTCATCCCAAGTCATTATTGTCATATTCCTCTTTTTTTAGTGCGCAGAAAAACACTTCCAGCTACATGCTGTGGTTTTGGCAGATTGTGCGAAAGTAAATCAGGAAGAAACAGGATGAACAAATATTAGTAAATAACTAAATGTCAGCAACTTTTTGGCTGAAGCATCAGCTTACATAGGTTTACAGCAAAGCAGAGTGCATTTATTTTTGTAGTACAATTAAACTAATAAAACACATTATGGGTATTTAATATACTTAGCGTGATTCAAGTCCTTATTTCAGTTAATGATTAATGTTTTCTGCTTATAGCTAACAAAAACACAACTATGGGATTTGATAATGACATCAGACCGATTAAACATTTTCTTACAAGAATGTGAGTTTTATGAAAAGACATTTAATACCTGATTAGTTGTATTTTTAAATGGGTCAATGTCCTGCTGGTTTGACCACCTCACTCCTTGTTCAAGAATTTTGCCTCCTTTAACAGGTTTTCTTCCTGAATTTCCCCTTTTTTAGCTCCACCCGACTTTCTGTGAACCCTGTGCAGCAGGATATTGGCCCTAAACAAGCATTTAGAGCTTTTAACAAAACGTTTTTCACAGCAGATGATTTTGATTTTTAATCCTTTCTTTGTATTTGTAATAACAATGTTGAATGCATGTGTATGTATTTCTCAATCTCATTACCAAAAACTTTAAATTTAAAGTTAAACTTTAAAGCAGAACATATTTTTAAGGTGAACGAGAGTTTGTTTTTCACAGAGCTTCCCAGATTCACAGTAGGTTTGGTTTCATAAAGCCACAGCAGGAATCCAGCACAGCATGTTTTATTACATAACAGCATTTTATGATTTCTGACTACAAATTTGTTCTGCTCAGATTACTCATGGACAACAAGATCACAAGAGTCCCTGAAAACACCTTCCAGTCTCTATGGAAGCTTGCTGAACTGTGAGTACTTTTTGTTTTTGTCATTAGGTGCACAGGAACTATTTACATCTGCACACAGGTGCTCAAATTAATAATAATAGAAAATAAACTTGATTGATCTCATATTGGAGAAATTTACCCCGGGTAGCAATCAGGGTTTAAGGGTCTTGCTCAGAGAGCCAGAGTGGAAGTCTGAGAGTGGGTTTCAAACTCACAACTTCAGAATTCCAAGCCCTATGCCCTAACCAGTAGGCCGGTTCCCCTAAATTAAGTAAAAATTACTTCATTTGAGACTGAAATTCATGCTCTTTGCTTCTACATCAGGTTGATGAATGTTTTTTTTTCCATAGTTTTCTTTCATTAGGTTGTTTATCAAAGATATTCTGCAACTTTACAACAATAGCAATGCCATTTGTCAAAAGCTAAATTAATATATAATCCTTAAACATTGCTATTAAAAATAATTAATTGTTGCCATTAATTGTTTATTGCTTCAATTTAAAGGACATTTCAAAGACAGTTTCTTTGTTTTTGGTAAAAACCATTAATATTAATAGGAGAATTGATTCAGACTTCTAAGATATATTTTTTAACACTGCCCTAGTTCATGGCACTACAAAAACCATCATCTAGGCAACCTGTTTTAATCCAGCACTAGCAGAGGGATTCAACATCTTGACCTGTCACAGGAACAACAACACCTCCAGGGGACCAGACAACCATACTGCTGACTCCTGAAGTGGCGTTCACAGTTCCTAATGTCAATAAGCAGATAACAGCTGGCTGCTGGGTGCTATTCCAGGATGTCCTTCAAGGCAGTGCTACTAAACTAAATGAAGTATTTACTGCCATTTTTAACATACTTGTAGGGTGGGTTATGCTTAAAAACAGCTGTCCAGGAGGCCTCCATTAAATACTGGCCAGTTCCCATGGTCCCAAAAACTAGGACAAAGTTTGTGTTCCCTCCAAATATTCAGCAGTAGCAGCACAAAGGCAAAGGAGTTTTTTTTTTTTTTTTTTTTCGTTATGCTATGTTTTTTAATTGGGGAGTAGAACAAAATGCTTTACATTATTTATAGTAGAGAACAAATCATACAAATGATCATATTTTGTTCACATATTTTTTCACCACCTCCAGCAGCCAATCATCAGACTATTAAACTGTATGGATTTCCGGCACCTGAAAAAAATTATGACAGAAAAACAAAAGTGGGGGGGGGGAATCCTGCTTTTCCTACATAAAACAGAGGTCCAAAACCTGACCAATTGTACGACTCAGACATGCTGCAGGAAAAAGTTCTGGCTAGACATATTGAGAACAAACAGTGAAAACCCCCAAGACAGAGTTGAGAGAACAAAACAACTTAATTTGCTTCATGGTCAAGATGTTTTAGTTTTAGTGGAGCATTTGGCTGCCTTAAAAGTCTTGAGATCCAGCACAGAGGTTTATTTTCAAAAAGCGTGTCCCTAAACAAGGAGACAGGGCTGTGAGATAATAGATAAGAGCAGAGCGTAGACATGTGTTAGAATATCCCAGTCAAAGCCATGCAGAAAGCCAACTGGGAATCTTTGGCACACTGCAAAAACAATCTAGAAATTTGTTAAAAAAAAAAAAAAAAAATCCTCAATTAAGTGTATTTCCCCTTAATTTAAGTAGGCACATAAGATGATCTGCCAATGGAATGAGTATTTTACTATTAAATTAAGATAATTAGATAATATGCAATGGAAATTAGACAATGCAATTGTTTTTTCCTATTTTAAGTGTAACTTTTTTTGTTCCATTAGTAAAGTGTCTCACTTACCTCCTTAATTCAAGAAAAAATGCTCTTATTTTAAGAAAAAATTACTTTTTGCAATTTCAATTTAAGTAGGACTTGGAAATTGATATGCACAGTTTGTTTCGATGCAATCTTACTGAGGTTAAGCCATTTGAAAAGGAAAAATGGACAAATATATTTTGATTTTGTAAAATAGTAGAGGTACATTTCAAAAAGACTGTAAGCTGTCCTTCCAAAATGTGGTTATGCAAATTATAGTCCAGTTAGATGGTATCAAAATCCTGACACGCTTTTCCTAATCTTATTTATACGATATTTAGAAAACCATGTGGGTATATCTAGCTGTAAAGTTGTGATGAAAAAGTAAGAAAAAAACAAGAAAGATAAATTATTAATACATTTTATTTAATGCTGTTACTGAATCACAATTCTTTATATATATGTGAAATATGCTAATTTTCCCTTTGTCCCTTTTTTTCTCTTTAATCCTGTTCAGAAACCTTTCTGGAAACAGGATCAATGAACTGCCAAAAAACACATTCAAGAGCCTCTCCAAGTCCCTCCTGAAACTGTGAGTGACTAATTTTACAAAGACTAAGAACTTCTTTATTATGTGAACATTGTGACCCTGAGTATTAGTAGTGAAGTCACTGTTTGAATTGGAGGTTTTAAGATAGGACTCAGAGAGTTTAATCCTGCTGGAGAGAAAAAAGGGAAAATCAAGTAGAACAGAACAGACTTTTTTTTTATTATGTGATAGGAAAATCATGAGACATGAAAATTTTGTTATTTAATCAGCTTCTTAACATTTGTCAAATATAATTTGTTTATAGTTAGTTAACTGAATATCAAAGAGAATTATATTATTCATTAATATAATAATAAAATAGTATTACAGTCTGGTAAATTTGCTATAAAAAGCCCTAATCAATACTCTATAGCAGAGGTCTTCAACAAGGGGTCCGCGACCCCTAGGGGGTCCGCGGAGGTACTGCATGGGGGTTGCGAAAGTCTTGATTGAGTCCTTTTTTTTATATTCCCTCCTGCAATTTTTTGCACTAATTAAAATGTCTTTAAATACACATTAACATGAATTCAACACACTGTAGTAAACAGATAAATGAAAGCAGAAGATGTCTTTCAGTCATCAATGCACACATTCAGCGACACACAGGTGCTCTTTCAAACCTGGGCACCGTTTCATTCACAACACCTGTCCCATCAACCAGGAATCAGATTCAGAAATACTTTAATAATCCCTGGGAGAAATTACTTTCGTTACATGACTCCATCAGTAATAGAGTGACTATAGGACCAGTTTGATATAACACAATTTCATACAATATATATAATTAAGGGGTCTCCGCTCATTCTCGCAATCAGTTTGGGGGTCCTTGGCTTTGAAAATGTTGAAGACCCCTGCTCTATAGTGAATAAACATGTTTTTTTCTTTTTTTATTAAATAATACAGTATTATATTAATAAGAGCAAAGCAGCAGTGGGTATAATACAAAAAAAAAACTTCCAAATAACTATCAGGAGTAATAAGACAGAAGAAAAAGTACACAAAACAGAGCAGACACTCAGATACATGAGTGTCTTTAATGAAAAATAGAAAAGAGCTTTAATTAAACAATTAAAACAGAAATCAAACAAGGATATATAAAATCTAAAAATATTTGAAAACCTTAAAAATTAATGGACGGACAAAGGGAGGGAGGGATGGAAAAAAGGAAAATGACTGAACTTAAATATTGTGTCATGTTTCTGAAAATAAAAATTGATTATTTAGAGTCATCACATCTAACGGCATGGGCATGAGGGTTTTTATTTTCTCCCTTAATGTATTTTAACGAGCTTCACACAAAGCAGCATTATTTTTCATTAAATGACGGGGGGCATACTTTGTTTTGAAGAATCGTAGGTAAATCTGCTGTTAAGTTAAGTTGGTGAAGATAAATCCAGCTGTGTAGAGCATAATCTATGTCGAGATTGCAGGGATCAAATAGCAGACAAAGACTACTACTTAAATGTTATTTTGTTATATTTAACTTACATTTTTTATAATAAAGATATGACATTAATTTGTATTACCCACACTTTAGGTAAGCTACTTATGTGAAGGGCATTATGAATGTTATTTAGTATTATCATTATTATTAGGATAATTGTTGTCATTATTACTTCCAACTACATGGCTTAGAACCTCATCTTTCTTTTATGGTCACTTTCAGACTGGCTGCATATTTTCTGTATTTTCAATTAGAATTCACATTGACTTTTCAACTAACCCTTTCTTTTTGTAGAAATATATCCTACAATCCCCTTCTCCGCATTCATCCAAGCCACTTCAATAGCCTGACACAGCTTCAGTCTCTGTAAGTATAGAAAGATACTCTTAAATATGCATCTCTGAACAATCCAATGTAATGGATTTATTTATCTTAAAACCAGGGACAATTCAAACTTTGATATCAATTTTTTATTTTTATTTTTACATATTTACCCATATTTAAGCAATAAAAATCCTGTGTAAGTAACAGTAGTAGTAACAATGATAGGGTATTAAAAATATGATGAAGGAGGTGTGGATACTGATGTATATTTCCATAAGACAGCTTTATTTCTCTCTCTATCAAACTTTCTTCTGCTGTTACTCTCTTCTTTTCTTTCTTCTCACTTCAATTCTTTAGCAGAACCTTTCAACTTTTATCGTTTATTCAGTCTCCTTTCTATCACTTTTTATTTTCCAACTCTCTTTTATCTTCTTTTTTTTCTTCAACAGGGTCACAATACAATTAAGATTTCCTTTTTTACATTTTACATTTAGAATATATTGAATTAGGAAAATTTCAACAAATAAAATTAGATATTTGTTTCAGATAAATCCATCAGAGCTGACAATTCTCCTAATTACATTGTATTATATATATATGTCAATGCCAACTTTAAAAAATAATGAATTGACTAGTTTTGTAAGTCGACAAAATGTCAAACTAATCTATACATTGTGTTCTTTTGGTAACAGCTCATGTACATTTAATCAGATGATTATATCTCCCCCTTCATCATTCTTTCGTCATGTAGTTTTTCTGTTATTTACAGTTTACCTCTATTTTCCGCAAAACAATACTAAATAAGAGACACAATTAAAATTACACATGAATATTGTTGTGATAAATGTTGAACCTGGCTAACAAAATTCTTTCTCATTTATAAAATATTAAAAAATTGGGAAGGTTTCTGGACTTTAACCTGGGATTTAATCAGAAACAGATTTCCCAGAAACAGGGCTGTCCTCAGAAATTACAGGCATCTGTTCATCTTACTTTAGTGACATATTGATTTCCTTTATCTATGAAAACAGTCCTCCTTCAAAAGCTAATATGTATTATGTATTCAATCTGAAACATATTTTAAAACATTAATGCAGCTTATGAAATTATTAAAGATAATTTTTATGTGTTTATTATATTGAGTCCCAACAGTATGCCTCCTGCTCTCTACTAAGGCATGATATTTGTATGCAGGGCTGTGGAGGGCATTGAAATCCCAGATATTCAGACAAAAATGTTCCTTCCCATGAAGAACCTCTCCCACATGTACGTACGATCCTAATAAAACACTGAATAACAAGTGTTTTGTTTAGATTTTCAATTTTAAGCATGTTTTATTTATTTTATTTTTTTTGCTTTCTTTTGTCAATATTAGCTATTTTAAGAAGTTCCAGTACTGCTCCTATGCCCCACATGTGAGGTCCTGCAAACCCAACACAGATGGCATCTCTTCCTTTGAGGACCTGTTGGCGAACATGGTGCTGCGAGTTTCTGTTTGGGTCATGGCTTTCATTACCTGCTTTGGTAATCTCTTAGTCATCGGCATGAGATCATTGATCCGTGCAGAGAACAACCTGCATGCCGCCTGCATCAAAGTCCTCTGCTGTGAGTATTGCACATCAATACACAGTAAATTTGATAGGAAAATCATTCATTGTCTAGTATTTTCTGAATACATCTGAGTTTTCAAGGGGTGGAAGTGGTTTTAAAAATCATACAGGTATTATATAAAACAATTAATGCTTGTAATTTTAAAAGATAACTTTTTTCAGATATAGACAAAGACAAAACTTTAAATACAGCTAAGTTACACTTTTGTAATTTAGATTTTGACCCTTTAGCTTCTCCATTTTGATTATTGAAGAAAAATAAGTACTAAGATAAATGTTCATGGCCAACTGGTATTTGATCATTAATATAAAATGAAAATACACAGACATTAGGCAGACAGACCGACTTGATTTATATTAGTGTTTATTGAATTTCTTAACAAATTTGCGAATCAGCAGCTAGAACAAAAAGGCTGCGGTCTCTGCAGAGGGAAAAACACAGGTTAACCCGGGCATATACTGTATGATTTTTCGTTGCACGCAGCTACAGCTAACACTGCTCTATGAAACTGTAGGGTTTAAGGGTTCGCAGCTCGCGATTTATGTTCTTACACTGTGCGGACTGACGCTGATGCAATCTATCTGCTCACATTGTATGTCTAAAAACCACATCGGGCTCAGCTCCGCAGTGAGATGGCAATACTCTGATTCGTCTATCCGGAAGCCAAATGAGTAGAAGAGGAATAGGAAGCTCACTATAGTGAAACGCGCTGCATTGGCAATTCGTGCAATTTTGTGCTGAAAGCCCTAAAAAGAAAAGGCAACGACATATTTGGACAAAGACATGGCTGAGAAACATGTCTAGTATGGTCTGTTAGTTTTACAGAAATAACTCAATGTCCCTTGCACCCCCGCCATGTTTATGTGTTTTTGTCTGAGAGGAAGAAAAAGAAGAATCCTTGTTTGCACATGCACACTGAACAATTTGCCCACAAACACCTTATGCGGGACTACTGAATTTCAAACATGTTTGAATTTCTTCAGACCGATTTCTGATCGGTAGGTGGAAATGAAAGGCTGATCATCCCTTGTTACCCCCTGCACACTACACGACACACAATCAGGCCTAAAGTTGGCCCGATCAAAAAATCTCGCACAACTGGAGAATTGTCCTGAAAAGAGCAAAAAATCTTATAGTGTAAGCCTGGCTTTAGTTACCACGAAACTTTGACAGAGGGCGATACAAGCATGTTAGTCACTAACCTGGTTATAAAGTTCAGTCCGAGCCCAGAGGAAGGAGTGGAATCCAGCCGGATGATTCTACACGCCAAAAGGATGAAGAGTTGACCAGACACCAGCAGATGAGGGAGATCAGGTATCCGAAGTGGTACTATAAGGAAATCCAAGCCGGGGTCAGGAGTAGGGTGGCCAGATGTCCGGCTTTAGGGCGGACAGTCCGGATTTTCATTGCACTGTCCGGCGTCCGGCGCTGCACCCA